AAACAGGATGCCTTGGAGAACAATTGGTTCCCATAAAAACAACCATAGAATTAAGTTTGAAAAAGTAGATTACACATATTAAAGAACAAATCAATTAAAAAAACTACATAACATGATACTACCTCCGTCCCATTTTATGTGTCCTACTTTGAGTTGGCACAATATATTAATGAAATGGTTGAAAAAGTAAAAAGTTGTGGTTGAAATTTGAGTGTAATAGAGTGAAATATTGTAGACCATAGATTTCATTCCAAGGAAACGAGACACTTATTTTGGGACAACCCATAAAGGAAAGTGGGACAGGTAAAATGAGACGGAGGGAGTATATGATAATTGACCATTTTCAGAAATCTGATGAAATCTCAAATTTTATACTGTATAACCTAGTCTAAAAATGATGACATATAAATCTGAAATTTAATTTTCGAGATTCATTTACCTTGTACCAATAAGGTGAAAAGAAGACAAATTTTGATATCAAATCATGGTCCATCTAACAACCCTCAACCAAAATGATGCTTCTTAGGGAGGAAGATTATAGAACCAAATCAGCAATAAAAATAAAAAACTGAGAAGGTATAACACTGCAAAAATAATCTTATTTTTGAGAGAAAACTTGCATTTTTGACCCCTGATTCCAACCAAAACTCCTCCCAATATTTTGTTGCTTGTATTTACAAAATTTAGTCTCTAAATCCATTAAATCAATAGATCTCAATATCTTCGGGTTCATACTTTGCTGCTTAGTTTCCTACCCCCACATCAATCGTTAGAAGTTGATTGTGAATTGACCAATTAATGGTTACAATCAAGTAAAAGTAAATAATCAAATACACCAAAATTTCCAAATTAAGGGATGAAACTCACCAGAGCACCAGTGATCGAGTAAACGGAATGAACAAGACTGATGAGTGGAGTTTGAAGAGAAAAGATATACATCGTATATATATATATACGACGTAATTTAAGAGGCTTAATTTATTCAGAGTTGTTTTATACGGATGATAGGGAAGGCCAGGAACGACAAAGGCTGAGGAGACGATTGAGGGCTGTCGAAACTTAACGGAGATGACAACAGACGGTTCGAGCTTTAGTTTAACGGAGATGGAGAATTAATACCGGTATAAAATAATGAGTACACTGGTTGAAGAAAAGTTAACGGAAGTTTAAAGAGGTGAAGACTAAGGAGGTGTTTACTTCACTACTAAAGTCACAGTTAGGTTAGTAAGACAAGTGAAGTAAACACGCACACTGCTTAAAAAGCCGCTTGCTAACCGAAAGAGGTGCTTAAAGTGCCGCTTATTAAGCATACCACGCCCCATGTATTAATTAAGCGGCACTTTAAGCTTTTTCAGTTTCCGAATTTACCCCTTGCTCGTAACCTATTGTTATCCCTGCCCCACCTCGACCCTAACCCCACCTACCCCGACCCCACCCTACCACGACCCCACCCTACCCTTACCCCACCTACCCTTACCCCACCTACCCTGACCCCACCCTACCTCGACCCCACCCTACCCTTACCCCACCTACCCTACCCCACCCCGACCCCACCCTACCTACCCCACCCCTACCCTACCTAACCGACCCCACCTACCCTTACCCCACCTACCCCGACCCCACCCCGACCCCACCCTACCTACCCCACCCCTACCCTACCTAACCGACCCTTACCCCACCCTACCTCGACCCCACCCTACCCCACCTACCATACCCACCCCGACCCCATCCCTACCCTACCTACCCGACCCCCACCCTACCCTTACCCCACCTACCCCGACCCCACCCCACCCCTACCCTTACCCCACCTACCCTACCCCCACCCCGACCCCACCTACCTACCCCACCCCACCTAACCGACCCCCACCCTACCCTTACCCCACCTACCCCGACCCCACCCCACCCCAACCCCACCCTACCTACCCCACCCCTACCCTACCTACCGACCCCCACCCTACCCTTACCCCACCTACCCTGACCCCACCCTACCTCAACCCCACCCTACCCCACCTACCCCCTACCCCTACCCTACCTACCTGACCCCACCCACCTAACCGACCCCCACCCTACCCTTACCCCACCTACCCCGACCCCACCCCACCCCAACCCCACCCTACCTACCCCACCCCTACCCTACCTAACCGACCCCCACCCTACCCTTACCCCACCTACCCTGACCCCACCCTACCTCAACCCCACCCTACCCCACCTACCCCCTACCCTACCTACCTGACCCCACCCTACCTACCCGACCCCACCCTAACCTGTCCCCACCCTACCCTACCCCCGACCCCATAGGCCCCCATAGGCCCCCATAGGCCCGTAGGGGTAGGGGTAAGGTGGGGTCGGGTAGGGGTAGGGTAGGTGGGGTCGGGTAGGGGTAGGGTAGGTGGGGTAAGGGTAGGGTGGGGTGGGGTCGGGGTAGGTGGGGTAAGGGTAGGGTGGGGGTCGGTTAGGTAGGGTAGGGGTGGGGTAATATTTAAATGTAACTAAATGTGACTTTACTATTAAAATTTGACAAGTATAGTAAATGCAACTACATTTTTTTTTAGAATCGTAAATGCAACTACTTTAATCTAACAAATTTATTATGGTTAGTATTAATATCTAATATATATGGTTAATTATTATGATAATGTAACAAGTATAGTAAATGCAATTAAAATGCAAATACTATTAACAATTTCAAATGTACTAAAATGAGAATAATATAATTTGAAATTGTAACAAATAATATGAAATGAGAATGTAACAAATTGAGAATGTAAAAAAATGAGTATGTAACTACTATAAATAGGAAAAATGTAAAACTAATATTAATGAAAATGTAACTAATGGGATAAATGTATTAATGTATATGAATTAATGAGAATATATAACTAATAGGATAAATGTAGCTAATATTAATGAAATGTAACTAATAGGATAAATGTATTAATGTACATTAATGAATGAAAATTTAACTACTAGAATAAATATATAAACTATAAATTATACTTTAAGTAACTAATATGTAATATAATGTTAATAGTATATACTCCATAATACATAAGTATACTACTATAAGATGAGTAGTACACTTATATTTAATACTTTAATATATATACTTAATATATAAGTAGATATAATATATGTATATAATAAGTGGATTACAAGTAGATAATAAGTAAAAAAATAATTATATAAGTGGATGTTGGGTATATTACCCCGGCCCACTACTGTTCAGACGCCCAAAGCATCACCCCGATACGGAGCCCAATTGGCGAAGCCCATTTAGACCTGCTTCGGCCCATTAATGCCTTCTCGGCCCATTAGGCCCGTTGGCCCATCGGAAACCCTCCCCTATTTCCTATAAATAGGGAGGAGGGTTCCCATTTGAGAGGATCCTTTTTTGGGCTCTCCCTCCTCTTTAATGCTTTCTTCTTTAGATTAGCAAGCTCCAAGCTCCATTAATGGAGGTCCAACTTATGTATCATGTAAATGGTGAGGAGAGTATATGAATGGAAAGAGCGGGCTTGGACGTTAGCCTAAAAAGTCCCGTGGTTTTCTCCCTTTTCGGGTTTCCACGTAAAAATAGCTAGTTCATACACTTTTATATATTTTATTTATGTTTATACCGAATCCATCGTCCTTAATATCTGAAGTTTATGTTGGGCTTCTGAATCTACGGGACAAAACCTCAACAATGGATATAATATATGTATATATAAGTAGGTATAATGTGTAATTAATCTAAATAGATACAATATATATTAATAGATGTAGAGAGACTGAGAGAAGATGAAGATGATTAGAGAGTATTAGAGTGTAGGAAAAATTGGAGAATAAGTATAGGAAAATGTTTAGAAAATAGGTGTATTTATAATTTTTTTTAGCCCCCGCCCCCAAACCCCCCCAAAGCGCCCAACCCCACCCTAACGACTCCATAGCCGTTAGCAACGACTAATAGACAGTCTAAACAATTTAATGTTTTTTTAATTAAGAGACGTTAGGCCCGGACCGGTCCGATCTAATAAAATGCTACCAAAGTCCTTCCCGTAACTCCACCGGTTCGGGTGCCGGGTCAGTACCGGTCCCGGATAACCGGGTCCGGGCCGGTACAAACATTAGTAATGTTAGAAAAAATACTCCATCAGTAGTGTTTCATGCTAACTTTATACGGAGATATACAATAATGACCACATTTGCACATTAAATTTTATGACATGTGGCAACAATCTAGCTAGATGAACAATAAAAGATTTTTTTAATAAGGGTGACCACGGACCACCCCGTGCATTATGATGATTTCTTTTGGACGGTTTTCAGCCACAGAGCAGAGCAGACCAGATCAGAGCAGACCATATCAAATAAGACCAGACTAGACTTCCGTAGTTATAAAATACACTGAGACCAAACCATGTCAGACCAGATCAGCAAATTTCAGTCCAAAAGAAAACATTCTTATACGGGTGAAATTGTGAAAATGTGTACTAAAAATATTTGTATGCAAAAAATGCAAATTAGTAAGATCAATCATCCTATGCAATGCACAAGTTAAAATACTAGTTTATCAAGAATGTAACTATTCTTTCTACTGACCGTAATAATTTGCATTCATTTTATGACATTACTACTCCATACTATTTATGTTTAAAGGTTGTTTGGTTATATGTAAATTGGTTGTATGGGGTGATTATGTTAAATTTTTTTAAGTTTTGGTTGGATTGGCTGATATGCTGATTTATGGGAAAAATTATATTCAAAATATACTTTATCAATAAATAAAGAAACAAGAAACAATTATAAAAAAATTGCTAACATGATCATCTACAATAATTCAGTCAGAAAATTAATTCTAATCTTACTATTTCTTATTTTACATAATTCAGCGCACAAAATCGAGAATTACTTATTGGATGAAATCGAAATTTTTTTTCTCTAAATTTTATCCCACAGGGTGGGCCAAATGATTATCACCAACTCACATATTCGTCTATTTAGCCTCTGAGTATTTATTTATTTACATCGGCAGGCCGCACAGAACAGGAGAGACAAAAATCGTTTCTTCTTCGTTGTCCAATTCCTCACCCTGCAACACAAGCCGCCGGAGCAGTCTAGGAAACGGAAAGTTAGAGCCTTGAAGAGCGGACGATTGGTTGTTATGGTGCTTAGGACAAGGGAATAAAAGATTTCCTATACATTAAAACCATGGCTGGGGTTGCGATTGTTTTGGATCTACTCCGTAAAAAGCCGAGCTCCAGTGGTCAGACCCTCCATTCTTACGGCGTTCTCTCAGCTCAAGTCGCCGCCTCTGCTGCCGCTGCTTCTATTGCGGCTACCACTCCTTTTGCTTCTAGGGCCTTCTTCGGAAACAGCGTGGCATTTTGTGATGCTGGCACGGGACTCACAGGAGATTATATTTCTAGCTTAGGAAGTGATTTCGCACCAATTAACCTCAATCGTCACTCTTCCAAAGTTTATTTCGTTGAACAAAAACCGCTTCTTTCTGCATTTTATTGGAAAAGTTTTGTCCTCACATCCTTAAGGGCTTTCCTATTGAATTACATGGCTCTGCTGGAGTCATGTGTGAAGATGAAGAAGATGAAGGACGATGAAGACGACGAAGATGATGACTATCTTCAAGACTCCCTGGAAGAGAAGCCAGTGGATTTGATCACTCCTTTCAAGAGATCAGTCAGACACATTTGTCGTGAGGTAACGTTCTCTTGATGCAATGTAATATCAAATTGCCCATTGACTAGCCCTGGCGTTTTTATATAAACATAATAAAAGGTAAAACTTATTCATCATTCCCCAAAAGTATCAAATGTCATATTAAAACAAATTATGAGAGGCCACAATCACATTCAATCTACCACGGAATCCCAAAAATTTCTGAACCCTTGATAACAAAATTGCTAATATATCAAAATTTAAATTTATTGGATTGATGACTAAAAAATCGAATCATCGTTTTCCTTACACCCTAACCTCCTATTGTGTACACCTCTAAGCACCATAGTCAATGCCTTTTACGCCATAGTTTATGAATTAGTTGAAGCCCGCCATGAAGCGTAATTGCATTGTGCAACAATTCAATGTTGTCAAAGGCGCTAGGCGCTAGTCAAGTGCTAGCCCAACGTCTAGGCGGGGATTAGTCGGAGACTTAAAAATTATAGTTTTATCAATCTTAAGTGTTTGTGAGTATATAAATAATATACCTACTAAATTATACCTACTAAATTAACTTCATTATGTAATAAATATTACTGGTATTAAATAATAATAACACATAAGATAAGGGGTGGAGATAGGGGAGGCTGGCGGGGGCCTTGCCCCCTACAAGTTTTTTTATGTGTATACATACTTATAAATATTTATAAGTAGTAAAAAATATAGTGAAAATTTAAGCTTTGGCTCCGCTGTATAAATTCCTTAAGCCTCGACCCCCGTAACCTGTCATTCCTTGCTCCGCCACTGCATAAGATTATATATAAACATGTATAGTTTTTATTTTAATCTACAACTAGTACTTTTCTTCGTATGCGTTGTTAAAGGTACATATATATCAACACTTAAAAAAAGTAAAATGAAATGTTCGACGAATCTAGACGCCCTAGACGGCCGATTAAGCGCTATGTGCGGGCAACTAGGTGCCTTAGGTGACCGACTAATTCACCTAGGCGCCAAATCAATTAGTCAGAGAGCCTAGACTAAAATCGGGGCTCCCAGCCATCGCCTAGAGCCTAGGCGGGGACTAGTCGGATGCCTAGAGCGATTTTTAGAATATCGGTGCATTTACAAACACCACCACCACCATCATTATTATCATTACCCCAGTGCCGCAAAGGCTCCCACCTACGGTGGGGTAAGAGGGGGTTGGATGTACGCAGTCTTACCCCTGTACTAAAGCACAAAGAGACTGTTTCCGGATGACCCATAGTCGGTGCAGTTACAAACAATATGTAATAATGTAATATTACTGCTTGGGAGTTCAGTGCCATTCTCAATTATGCTGTGACCATGGATGCATGGGGACTGGTTACTGCTTGGGAGTTTAGTGCCATTCTCAATTATGCTATGACCATGGATGCGCGGGGACTGGTTATCGCAGGCATGCATGCATGTTCAAATTTTGTGTCAAATGTATTTCAGATACGTTATCGATTTTTTCCGCTTTCTTCATTTGTGTTGCTGAAATTCTTTATTCTGACTGACTGAATAACACCCGGGAGGATCATGCAGTTCTAAATTTAAAGCTTGTAGTCTTGTGAGAGAATCTGTACTTGCATTTGAGCCAACTATGAATTAGTAATAGTGGATTATGCTTGACAACTTAAGCGTTTACAGCAATAGTTCGTTTTCTGATATATTAGAATCAACGTGTCTATAATATGTTCGCAATATCAGGTTGGTAGGGATCAGCAGTGTGTATTGTAATACAAACACATTACACAAACTGATTTTGATTAAGAGATCTGTATTTCCATGATACTTCCCAACCAAGTTGTTGAAAAAAGCAGCCTTTAATTAGAATATAAGACTTCATATGTATAGGTGCCTTTTGGTTTTCATAGTTAAAGCATGTAGTTCCTATAAGTTCTTGGCTCATATAAACCCGTAATATCAGTTCAATATCATTAGTACTAGCATATGCAACGTACACGTCAACTTGTTTCTTGTTCTACTATTGTTTCATGCTTAACGTATATAAGCTCCTTCTTTACCTGCAGCCTGCAGGTGGTAAGTATGGCGTTGTGCCACCAGCCATCTCTTTTGACACATTTTTTCTTAATTATCATGTCAATATATGCTCCAAGTCCTAGTCTTGTTAGTTTTTTTTTGCTAGACTTTTCTATACGCAGGCGTGAAGTTCCACATTTCCCAAGTCCCAACTATCAAAATCGAATATGGTGTGGTTTATAAATCTGTCAAAGCTGACCACCTTATAAGCTAATTAATGAGGTTGAACCCTTTTAAGTCTTTGAGTTTCATCCTAAAAGTTCAACCTGATATAAGGAGTAAATTTGGATCTTATATAGTGTTTGACTCTTAACAAGGTGTGGGACAAATGATTGTGCTGGACAATTAATCCATTGTGTGACAAATAATTCAACAATCAATTTACAACCGGTGATAAGTGATAACATATTAAGTCTTGGGATTCTAACCAAAAATTCAATCTGATATAATCTTATATAGTATTTCATTATTTTATACCAATCCGGTGTAGGATAAATACTTAAATAAACCTGATTTTCTATTAGGATTAGGATATTTGAACCACTCTCTTAAGGTTTGGTTTCTGGCAGATTTTCTTTCCCGGCTACTGAATTTGTTGTAAGTTGTAATCAATACCCAATTAGTGGATCGTCATCGTCGTCATTAGTACCTTTATCACATTGGTGTTGAGATTGGTGACATAAAATAAATTTAGTGTCACTTACTCACTTTTCTAAAATTAGTTAAAGCGTTATATATATTAATGCATCTAATCACAGTGGATGTAGTCTTATGCTAGATGCTTTCCTCTCACAAGTTTCTATGAAGGAATAATGAGACAAAACAGACACGGGGCATCATAAATTCACAATAGTTTTTCACTGGCATAGAAAATGTGGTATGTGTAAAATGATGATAAGTGGAGATATTTGCTAGTCATGTGTGTCCCTTAGAATACATATTTTGCAAGAGCATCATGCGAACCATGGAAGTTGACCAGTAAGGCAGCAACTGCACATCTTTTTTTTCTGATTCCTTTTCAGCTTTGCAGTTTTGAGCAATTTCATCAATCTTCAGTTTCTAAGAGTCTTCCAATTTGCTTAGACTTTAGGTAGTATGCTCATAACCGTAAATGTTTTTTGGTCAATATTTGACAAGATATTTAATGTTGAGTGAAGAGAAAGAGCATGTGAGATATAATCATTTTTCTCTGTACAGTTTTGAGTTTTTCTTTTCATGTTATAGATTGTAGTGATGTCTTTATTCTTTTTCAAACTGTAACTTCCTTTAGCTGGCAAATTTGATCAGTGAGTTGAAGTATTAACTATGTATTTGAGCTCGTAGATGTGCTAACAGAATTCTATTACGATGTTTTGCATTTACTTCAATTATCTACATTGCATACACACAATGTGTTTGTAAATGAAATTTTTTGGGATGGTTTTAATTTTCACGTACAGTTGATAGTGTGGTCATCCCTTTGGTGACAAGTGACAACTTACCATGTTATCCCCTTACTCTCTTTAACATGGAAAGCCTTTTGGCTTGCACATTATTTGCATGCAACTTTTCAGTGCATTGCTTCAACTTCTTTATTGCTACTTGAGATATGCTATGATGTTTTTACTGTTTTTTTTCTATTAATTATCTGATGTTTAATCTGTCAGTAAACTTAGCTCACAAATAATATCTGGTGTATCATGCATGACTCAGACAACAGTTGTGACCACTAGACGAGTGTTGGAGCGAGTTGCTGTCCATTATGTTTCACAACGCATGGCGTGGAAACTCCTCAAAGGTACAGCAGAACTTTGATCGATTCATGTTATTGTCACATTTGCATCATCATCATCATCATCATCATTGATTAATGCCCCCTCTAATGAGGAATAACGAGATATGCAGATGTTCCCAAGTCAGCTGCTCGCAAGGCAGGACGAAAAATGCCAACTTTAGTCTACACATACAGTGTTAGCAGATCAACTTTCAGAGGTGAAAAGTTTTCTTTTCTCGATACTTATATACATACATATATAGCGCGTGGTTAAAAAGAATGTTGAACATGTGAACATCGAACCTCCACCTTTGCTTCGCTACTTACACTTTTATGTTTAGCTGATGCAATTTTTTGCGGTAGCAAAAAGTTCACTTATTTATGAAATTGCCACCGTGTTTTTTAAATTAGTGAACTTTTTGCCACCTTGGAAAGCTCATTAGTTCAACATACAACAACAAAGTAGCAAACTAAAAATGATATTCACATTCTACACATTAAGCACTTTATATGTATGTGTGTGTGTGTATAATTTAGTTGAAATAAAAAGTACTTCGTAGATGAAAAATTAGAAGTAATCTTGATCATTGATGTGAAAAAATAGATGGATGAGATCAATTTTTAAGTCTAAAGCGCGGTGGTGTTTTTGTAATTTTAAGAACCTTTAAATTAAAGTAAACAAATACAAGTGCAACAGCATATACAAAAATACAAAATGTGCATCATTTTGAAAGTGCATTAGTATATAGAATAAAGTGTGCAACTTTAAAAAGGTGATAACTTTTTTTAACGCTCAACAATGCAATTTTTTATATGCACCTAGCACTCTATATCACAAAATGTTGCACGATAAAGTGAAATACTACAACTTGCCATTGTGTTTTGATGAAAAATTGATCAGCAATGAAAGGCCTTGATTTATTCTCATTTTTATGAAAAAGCTTCTTTTCATTAGAATCCAACCCTATAAACACACACATATATCCAATATGTTTTTTTTATATCTTTCTTATCTTCTTTATCTTTTTATCTTTATTTATCTTTTTTTATCTTATCTTTCAATCTTTGTGAACTCCTATTTCATATGTCGATTCATATTAACCGACCCCAAACTCTTTTGGGACTAAGGTCTGGATGATGTTGTTGTATCCACTATGCATGAGCAATGTTTCTCATATATCTGAATTCAACTGTTTGGTTGAGAAGGTTATGTCCTAGGAGCTCTTGCATCGTGGATTGTCCAAATTGGGATAGATATATACGGTCTCTTCAACTCACAGGCTGACAGAGAAGAAAAAGTTAGGCTGTTTGGGAAGAAGGTTTACACCACCACTATTAGGTGCGGTACATCTCTTGTTTTTGCTTCCATTGGTGCTGGATTAGGCGCTGCTTTCATTCATCCCACAGTCGGCCAGTGGATAGGTGAGTTTGTAATGCATCTTTTTTTGTTAATTCAGAGTTGTTTGAAACACAGAGAGATATTTTAAAGAAGTTGCCCTAAATAGGAGTAAAAACGTTGGTAAATTCCAAAATAAGTGTGAGATGTCACATTGTTTTGGAGACTTTAAATATGATACGTAGTAGTATTTTCCAAGATTGGCTGTAATTACTCCTATTTAGGGAATAAAACATGATAGTCCTATTTTGAAATTTCAAAACGTTTTTACTCATATTTCAGAAATTTTCTCAAGATTTTATTATACTATATTACTAACATATCTCATTGAAATTAGCCAAAGGAAAGGGATGCAATTATAATATAGAATATGTTACCTCTTTCAAGAGAATTCCGAGGGTTTTAAGATGTGGACCTATAGAATTACAATAGTTTTAGCCAAACTAGTTAGATATGTTATAGTATTGGTTTCACAACGGCAAAGTATAAAATATTAATTGAATATATAATATTGTGATTTACCTTTTTAAATAAAACTGCCGGTCTTAATATGGTATTGGAGTCAAATCCGGTAGTGATATTTGATTGTTTATTAACTTATTTGTTGCTTCTTTTTTACTATTTTTGGCGCACCTCAAATTGTTGATCTCGAGCCTCGATTTGGCATGAGCTACCCTCACATATAAATATTAGGAAAAAAGGCCTTGTGTTACTTCTTTGAATGTTAACCTTTTAGAATGGAATATAGGTGCTAAACCATAAATTGTTACTTTGCCTCTACCCCTTAGAGGGTAGGTAGTTATTAGGATGTTTTTAATTGGAATGATTTCAGTCCCAAATCAGACCAGACTTAAATAGATCGGATCAAATTAGAGCCAGTGTTGTCAATCCCGGATAGTGGAGCGTAGCGGCCAGCCCCGAAAACGCTTTAACAGTATAGCGGATAGCGGGATGACCGCTATTTAGACAATTTGTATGTGTGTGTGTGTGTGTATATATATATATATATGTACATGTATAGATATGTATATATATATGTGTATACACACACAATACATATTACATGTCATCAACGTTTCATCATTTACCCCAGTGCCGCAAAGGCTCCCACCTACGGTGGGGTAAGGGGGGTCGGATGTACGCAGTCTTACCCCTGTACTAAAGCACAGAGAGACTGTTTCTGGATGACCCATAGTGAAAATCCGTCCAAAATTGCATGGACTGATTGCTGCTCCATAACAAAGAAGCGCAGACAGTTTAGTGAGCCATTTTGCTGTATTCCATCATATTCTCAAGCCAAAAAATAGTGAATCTTTGACTCCATTGTAAATGATGGAAATACAATACATATTATATGTATGCATACAATTACATGTCATCGTTTGGCATGCATGTATCTATTCCAAGAAATGAGAAATCACAAATATAGTCTGCATTACACTAAAAAAGATCCCCGTCTTCCTGTCAATTCTAACTTCTCAAGTTCCAAATCAATCATCATTTGGTTGAGATTGGCATTAGTAAAATCCCTTACAAACATGTTTACTTCATGGGTTAGGAAGCGCTATTTATTAAAACATGTTTTAGTAACCCGCTCTTTAATAAGAGTTGCTTAATAAACATATGTTTACTTCACGAGACCGATCATCATCATCATTACCCCAGTGCCGCAAAGGTTCCCACCTACGGTGGGGTAAGGGGAGGGGGGTCGGATGTACGTAGTCTTACCCATGTACTTAAGCACAAAGAGACTTTCCGGATGACCCGTAGTCACCTATCACGTTGAAAGTTGCATGGACTGACTACTACTTCACAACAAAGAAGAGCAGACAATTTAGTGAACCATTTTGCTTTATTCCATCATACTTTTTTTTTTCTTTTTTTGCTTTATTCCATCATACTTCACGAGACAGATGCATTTATTAAAACATAGGTTTACTTGAGAATGTGAATTATAACTTTTAAGGACTTTACCTCCTCTTTACTATCACTCAAACCCCCACCCCGCTACCCCTACTCCCAAACCTCACGGGGGAGGTAGGTGGTGGGGATGGTGGTAGTGGTAGAGGTGGGCAATTAAAGGGTGGGTTAGGGTAGGGGCAGAGGGGATGGTGTAGGAGGTTGTGCTAGGGTAAGGTGGGGTTATGGGTAGGGGTAGGGGTGATGTAGGGGGGATTGGGGTTAGGTGGGTTAAGGGTAGGGGTAAGAGGTTGTGGGGTGTGGCTGGGGGCATAGAGGCCAAGGTGGAGGTAGGGGTGGGTGTAAGAAGGAAGGGGGTTGGCCGGTTGGGGTGCTTCAGCGATTTTCATTATGAGAAGCGAAGAGGGGTATATTTATCAATATAAAAAAGTTTAATACGGTTCTTAGTAAAACATGAGATGTGTTTACTAAGCAGGTATTTATCCAAAAAATTGTTTGTTTCACATGTGTAATGTATTAATAAGCCAACAATGAAATTAAGAATAAAGTAAACATGTCCTAAGGTCTTTCTTAATGTCCTAAGGTTTTTCTTAATCCATAATGTCGGCCAATTTTATTTCCAACATTTATAGGACCGAGTTGTGCACTGAGTAACCGAAATCGACAGAGATTTTTTTAGTGAAATATTCACCAATGTGACTCCCACACTACGTCTTTTGCGTTGAGGATTATGCCTTCTGTGTTGAGGCTTACGAAATGTGGCTTACGAGTTGCCAAATGAGCCATACACATTGAATTCAAGGTTTAATTAAATAAAGAGAAAGTTATCAAATATTCCCTTGTACTATACTTAATTGATAGAAAGCTATCAATTACAACTAAATAGTCACCCAATTAAGCCCTCCAACTTAAAAAAAAAAGATCAAAATAAGCTGTTTTTCAGCTAAACATCAGGTTAGCCGGTAAACATGCACACGTGGTGGTCTACATGGCTACTTTATTCTTGTTCTATTTTCTTTTCTTTCTTTCCCCCATTCTCGTGTTTCTTCACCCCACCCGCTTACTTCGCCGTTCTTCTTCACAGCAGCCAACCCTTTCAGTTGGATCTGTGCAGTTGTGCTCATTGTCATTGTTCCAAGCCCGGTTGCCATGATCATCTGGCTCGTCCAAAAATGAATATCCGAAGTCCAGGCGGCTGTGCACCTCTCCTATCTCCAATATTCATCCTTCTTCGGTACTTCAATTCTTCAGTTCTTCCTTCTTTTCTTTCAAACGCATCTCTGAAATTGATGATGAAGATGTCGATTCTCTCCTCTCCGTGGTGGACCTTAGGCATTATGAAGTTGAGAAGTTGGGAAGACAACTTCTCTTGAATTGAGAAGACTATCCATGTGTCTGATATCGGTTCTGAAATTGAAGGTAAGAATATTGGCATTAAGGTAAGGAATTCTTTTATAAAATCCTCATTCCTTGAAGCTGATAGATGTCTTCTCTGGCGTCCATTCTTTTCTACCTTAACCATCGATTTTTCTTTTTCTATATATCTTTTACTATACACGGTTATATGCAAAGTATGAGTTTCATTTACTTTTTTATTGCTATGTATGAAAACTCTGCTTATGACACTGAAAGAGTGTCAATGTTGGACTGTGAATTTGGAAGCACCCAGTGACGGTGATGTACTTCTGTGACAAATTGAGCTTTGCCGACATCTCTAAATGTTGTCTTGCCATTTCTCCGACCTCTACGCCACCCAAACAAGCTTCAGCCACGCTCATGCCGATGGTGGGGGACAAGGAAAGACATCTCAGAACTGATGAGATCGTAACATTTGGTTAGTGGAAAGTGAAGCACTGTTGAATAAGGTAGAGAATAAAAAAAATAGAAAACCCTGAAAAAGAGTCACCTGGATGTTGCACATATAAGATTAATTGAATTGACGTTTTTGAAATAGTACGAGGACCTACTTGACGATTTTCCATTAAAGAAAATAAAGCACACTCCAAAAAGCAATCCTTCATTCTCTTTCACTTAAATTCTTTGACAGTTTCTATGACTATTCATTCTCTTTTCTTTAGTTCTTGATCGCTTTCATGGTTCTTCTACTTCTTTTATTCCTCAATCTAATAAACTTTTAACTGTAAAGAAATTAGCCAATATTAATTTGCTAGGCGAAACTCCCCAAGCAAGACCAAGTGAAATTTTAATTGCAAGAGTAGGAGTATAACTTTTAAAATTCCCTAAATAGGATTATATTTCCAATCTTGCCCTTGCTTTGTTTTAATACAATTCATACTTCATTATTAATCAAAACATAAAAGCAATAACATAACTTTATTTATAATTAAAATGTAAGAAAATAATAACCATGAAAATAAATATCAAATAAAATTAATAAAACTAAAAAATACAAAAATATAAAATTAAAAAAAGATTAAAAATTAAAATAAAATAAAAAAGACGTAAAAAACAAAAAAAAAACATGCAGGGCTTTGTTGCCGCCTCAACAACCTCCCAGCAACCCCAGCCCCAACATGTGTCGATAATGCCGTCTTCATTGCATGTTCAAAGAATAAGAGGCACATTTTTTATATCAAATGGAATTTTTTGCTGATCCGAAGTGGCGTTGCTGGGAGATGGCAGAGTGTGCGGGAAAGGCCCTTAGTATTTTTAATATTTTTTATGTGTTTTATCAATTTTTTTTTTAAAGTTTTTAGTTTTAAATAGTTAAATGTTTATTATTTTTTCAAAATATTTGTGAATACGTATATTTTTTATGATTATGATTTAAAATAATGTTTATGATTTTTATGTTTTTATTATTACAAATTAAAATATGATTTTCCTATTAAGCTACGGTAAAGGTAGGATAGGAAGATAGAGTATACTTTAGTCTTATTTCAATATATGGGAAGGTAAAAACATAGTCCGATTTGTTCATTTAGGGATTAGTTTATTTGTATTTAGGGCTATTATTTGTATTTGCTACTCCGTATTATATTATGTTAGCACCAAATCATGCTTTGGTAATCATAAAGTTTAGAAGTAATATTTATATCACTAGTATTAGTAGTACATATGTTTTATTTATCTAATTAATTTGGGTGGTAAATATTTATACTGAAGTAATATTTATGTCACTATAAACTGGTCCACATATGATTAATTAATGCTGCTCTTCCTCGAACCCAACAAAACCAACCTTTCAGTTGTAACAATATCTCACCACTCTAATGAACTACATACAGTATAACGATGCATGCATGCATGTATGTATGTAATGTTTTAGGTATGATATAATATTCCGTTGTGTGATCATGAATTTCAGGGTGCGCGGTGGGGGATGTTGCTGGGCCTTACATTGTTGCCATGTCTTTCCAACTCTAGACTAGTCCGCTCCCATTTCAATTCTCCGCTGCATGTGATAATATATGATGATGATATTATCAATGGAAATCAATCAATTCATTCCTTGAATTTTTGGCTTTGGTCTATCAAGATGAGGAAGATTTTACGTGGATAATTATAATCACCTTGTCATTATTATTATTAGCAACTCAGGAGAGATTATTCTTCATCTTTGTTTTGCCTTGTGAACAATTATAGACCGAATAATTTCATTTTTTTAATTGACTTAAATGGAAGATAGGAGTTGGTACTCTTTCTCCATCGCTTTATTCCCACCCACTCTTCTCTTCCAAATCATCAGCCTTCTGCTGCCCTACTTTGATTATTCATCAAACAGATAAGTGAATTCTGTTTAATTATTCCAAACATCATTAATAGGCCTTTTCACTTATATTCTGCTCCCCTAGATATCAACAGCCTTACTGTTTTAAACCGCATTTTTAAGACCCACAATGTAAAAATATATTTACTTATTGACATTAAGAATTTAGTTTTCTTTGTATTTATATATTCACAAACTGCCGTCGATAAATACAAACTATGTCAACTAGTTTTATAAACAGTTTCAGACAATTTGTTTCCACTTATGTTAACATCCCAGGTTTAAATTGACATCACCCAATTTAAATAAGGCGTAAAACTAAATTACAATATAACATGTGGATAAAACTATTTTGAAAATAGATCCCCATTTTGTATTTCATGTGGTATCTGTTGTTTTGAAACCGTCAACATTTATTTAGAATGCAAATATTCCAAGTACACTTTAATATTATGTAGTTCTGTTAATTAATTGGATTGGATATATAACTTAATAAATATGTGTGCGTGTACATTATTATTAGATATTCAAAGCACGATATTGCACCTTTTTTAATGACTGGCAAATTAGTAAAACAAACATGCACATATACTAGCTAGCTTTTAAGTTAATCTCCTTACTACTAAAGTTAATCCAATAAAATTTACTCGTAGAGGCAAAAGATGTTTGGTAATGGAATTTGAAATTCTTAGTTTTGATATTTTTTTAATTAGTAGATCTCACAGTATAATAAACTATCAATAAAATATAATTTAGTTTTATTATTTTAGTTTCTTTTTTTCTTTCATTAGTGCCCGTAACTCCCTTTTCTATCAATAAAATATAGTCAAAAAAAATACAAACCACATTAGCAAACACCGTTAATGAAGTATTAAATCTAATTCCTCAAGTATATAAGAAGGGTTATTTGCTGTTTAGTTGTACATGGATGATGGATTATATGGACTCCGACCCCCCGGTATGCCGACTACTAGGACTGGACAGCGGCCCACACACGTTTAGCGGATATCATTAATATTATTGTACATTGTTTTTATTATTCAAATGTTCTAGATTGACTTTTTATACTATCAGTCCGTTTATGTAACCGGGTCTGTCAGGCCCATATTAGAGGCCCAGACCCGGATTTTCCCTATATATACTCCTTATAGGAGGCTTGTAAACATAACTCAAGAACTCATAGTTCATACACAATACACATTTTTCTTCTTCCTCTTCTCCATTACTCATTTTGATTCTTGTCCAATCTCTCCTGTTTATACAATATGGGTATCAATTATCCATCATTTGGTGCTCTCGTTGAGAGGTCTGAACTATCAAGTAAGAAACCCTCCCCCTCTACCAAATACAGAACACCTACCAAAAATGGGAAGAACCACTCGTGCCCAATCCAAAACTCTGGAGGAGAAACACGTCGCCCCCGGCGAAACCAACGGGGCTGAGGCCTCCAACAGGCTCTTGGTACCCGAGGGTGGTATCATCCTGGAATTAGAGCAGGCTACCGCTGACCTCCGTCAGCAGCTACAGAAGAACGCCCCAGATGCCCGCATTGGCCTTGATAATCGAAGGAGGGATCGGAGTGAGAACCAAGTTCCCCCTCCGGCCCCGGCCATCGATCTTCAGGCTGCCTTTGCGGCCTTTGTTCAAAACATGGCTCTCAATTCCGGAGCCCTCGCCTCTCAGGCACCCCTTCAGCCCCATGCTGGAGGGAATGTTATCAACCTGCCACCACTCCCTCCTTTGTTCAACAATCCTCCCCCGGGGATTGGCAATGCCGAGGGGGTCATGGCGCAGGATACCGCCTCCCAAGAGGCCCAGTCCAGGGACAAGCGCCCCATGATGAAAGAGAGGCCCCGAACCTCTGCACTTGAGAGGCTCGGGGGAGCTCCCGGGCACCGAGTGGTCCAAGACCGCCTCGGGAAACAAGCGCTCAGCAGGCCCCAAGAAAGTGGAGCCTCCGCTTTGGGTGCCGAGGGCGTACCTCCCCCCCGAAGCAGAGGCAAAGCTCTCCTTCATGCCGATGATGCCAGGCACCAAATCACTCAGGCACAATCCTTCCGGGCCAACTCCCAAGGGGTGGCCCCGAAGGATCCCAAGGACGAAATCATTGAAGCCCTCCTCCGTCAACTCGAGGAAAATCGTCAGGCACCCCCGACGGCTTCCACAGCAAGGCCGGATCCTGAGTACGCTGACCTCAGGGCACAGGTGGAGGAAATGAAACGTAAACTTGCCGAAGGCTCAGGCGAGCCTCTCATTCAGCTCCGCACTAGGACGCCTTTCACCCCAAGGGTGTTGGCGGCCAAAATCCCCCACAAATATCGGGGGCAACCTATCAAACCGTATGAGGGGAAGACGGATCCCCAGGAGCACTATAGCCGTTATCAAAACAGCATGATGATGATGGGGGCATCGGATGAATACTTATGCCGTTGGTTCCTTTCCACCCTGGAGGGACCAGCGTATGAGTGGTTCAACCGGTTGCCCGAAGGCAGCATTGATTCTTGGCAAGAACTTGCCCACCGCTTCCTTACGCAGTTTGCCGGGAGGCACCGCTCAAAGAAACACTTCTCCCACCTTCTGAATGTGAGACAACAGAAGGAGGAAACCCTTCGGAGTTTCCTGGAACGCTGGAGGCAGGCCTCCCTCGAGGTCGAAGGCGCCGATGACAGGACCCTGATGGCCCTCTTCCACACCGTCCTCCGCAATGGTAACTTCTCCCGGAGCCTTATCACTGATCCCCCCCGCGATTATACAAAGGCCCTTCAGCGGGGGGATCGATACGCTGAAGCGGAGGAAATCGAGAAGGACCGCCGCAACACGGATCCTTCTCAGAAGAATGAAGGCAGGAACCGGCCCGGAGGGCCTCCCCCTCCGGTCCACCGAGAGGCACAGTACAACGATCGCTCCCGGGGTGGCCAAGCCAGACCCGGGGGCGGTTACAAGAACAATCCGAAGGCTTGGGCACAACCCGTCCTCCTGGAGCACCCACGCACTCCCCTGACGCACCCCGTCAGCGTCATTCTTGATCATGCGGAAGAGCGGGGGCTCGTTGAGCGAGACTCCCGCACACCCCTCGAGATTTATGCCATCGGCCCTGATGAGCCATATTGCCGCTTTCACCGCCACCATGGGCACAAAACCGACGACTGCCATCAGCTGAAGAACGCCATCGAGAGGCTGATACAGGCGGGCCACTTATCTCAGTTTATCAGGGGCCCTCCTCCCCAGGGCCCCCTCCATCATCAAGGGCCTCCGCCGAAGGCCAACAAGTGGGTGAACCCCAACACCATCCCCTTGGGAAACCCACAGGGGAAGAAGCGAGAAATAGGGGGCCTCGATGATGAGGGAGAGGGCTCCCATCAACAATACAAGCGCCATATTCATATGATCAACGGCGGCAACACCGGAGGCGATTCAGCAAGCCAAAGGAAGAAGTGGGCACAGTCCCTTTACATTGGGGAGGTCAATCACATGCCCCCTACTAAAAGGCAGAGGGCAGATCCCATCTTCTTCACAGATGCGGACCTCCCCTCGGGCTCCCTGCCGCATAGGGATGCCCTCGTCATCCGCACTGAGATCAATGACGCCATCATCCACCGGACTTACGTCGACACGGGGAGTTCTGTCAACGTCATGTATCTCAGCACTTTCCAAGAGTTGGGACTCGATAGGGGGTCCCTTCGGCACATCAACACCCCCCTCTCCGGATTTACGGGGGACAGCATAGACGCCGAGGGCGTCATCACCCTCATGGTTGAATTCGACGACGGATCCCATAGAGCCAAGCTCGAAGTGGAATTCGTTGTCGTCAACCTCGATTGCGCGCACAACATCATCCTCGGCCGGCCTGCCCTCGAGGACTTGGAGGCCGTCATCTCCATGAGACACCTCTGCCTCAAATTCCCCACACCCACCGGCATCGGCTATTCGAGGGGGAATCAGAAACTCTCCAGGGCCTGCTACCTTCAGCTTACCAAGAAGGTTAGTAAAACTGAGTTTCGAGTTGACACCATCACCACCAAGGCCTTAGAGGAAGAAGAAGACAGGCCGAGGGCTGAGCCTGCCGAGGAGACCGAAGACTTGATACTCGATCCGGCCAAGCCGGAGAGAGTCCTGAAGATTGGAGCCAAGCTCCCCGAAGACTTGAAGGCTGGCATCACCAAGGCCCTCCGCGCCTACTCCATTGTTTTTGCATGGGGGCCGGAGGATATGCCAGGAATTGACCGAAGGGTTATCACCCACCGCCTGGCGGTGGACCCTTCGGTCAGACCAGTGCAGCAACGAAGAAGACCCCTCTCGGCCGAGAGAAGGGAGTTCGTGAAGAAGGAGGTATCTATGCTCCTCTCCATCAAACACATTAAGGAGGTGAAATACCCTTCTTGGTTGGCAAACGTAGTCCTCGCACAGAAGCCTCCTACCTTCCGCATGTGCGTGGACTACACCGATCTGAATAAGGCGTGCCCTATGGACCCCTTCCCTCTGCCAAACATTGATCAGCTGGTTGATGAGACCGCGGGATGCGAAATCATGTCCTTCCTCGACGCATTCCGCGGGTATCATCAAATCTACATGCATGAGGAAGACGCTGAAAAAACCGCCTTCATGACACCCGAAGGTATCTTCTGCTACCTTGTGATGGCCTTCGGCCTCAAGAATTCAGGCGCCACCTACACCCGTATGGTGGCTAGGGTCTTTCAAGCTGTCCTAGGACGCACCATGGAGGCTTACGTTGACGATATGATCGTCAAAAGTAAGAAGGCAGACACTCACGCCGAGGACCTCCAGGAAATCTTCGCCATCATGCAAAAATTCAACCTCCGGTTGAATCCAAAGAAATGCACCTTCGGCGTACAAGGCGGAAAATTCTTGGGGTATATGGTAAGCCGAAGGGGTATCGAGGCCAACCCCGAGAAAATTCAGGCCATCATCAATATGGAGCCTCCGCGCAACGTCAAAGAAGTTCAACGGTTGACGGGTCGCCTGGCGGCCCTCAACCGATTCCTCTCTAAGTCAGCCGAGAGGGCCCTCCCCTTCTTCCAAATCATGAGGAGGACAGCGGGGTTCCAATGGACATCTGAGTGTCAAGAGGCCTTCGACGAACTCAAGAAGTACCTCTCCTCTCCCCCAGTGCTCTCCAAACCAAAGGTGGGGGAGACCTTATACTTATATCTCGGTGTTAGCCCTGCGGCTATCAGCTCAGTACTAATCCGAGAGGAAGACGGCATCCAACATGCGATCTTCTACGTCAGCAAAACCCTCCGGGAGGCCGAACTCAGGTATTCTCCCGTCGAGAAGACGGTGCTAGCCATCGTTTGGACCGTCAAGAAGCTGGGCCACTACTTTCAAGCTCCTCCGGTCCAGGTGCTCACTCATCAACCCCTCGGCGCCCTCATGAGGAGTCCCACTAGCTCCTCCCGGATGGTAAAATGGGCCATCTTCCTCAGTCAGTACAACATAGATATCCGTCCGAGGCCTGCCATTAAGGGCCAAGCCCTGGCAGACTTCGTAACGGAATGCACCGCGAGATCAGCAACAGACGAGGAGCCTTCGGCACCCCTCGATGAGTGGTGGACGCTCTATACCGATGGCTCCTCGGCCACCAAAGCGTGCGGAGGGGGAGTAGTCCTCATTACGCCCGAAGGCTTCCGCGCATATTATGCCATTCGCTTCTCCTTCAAAGTCTCCAACAACGAGGCCGAGTACGAAGCCCTCCTCTGTGGCCTTCGGCTGGCAGCAAATCTGAAGGCTAAGATGATCCACGTCAAGTGTGACTCCAAACTTGTTGTGGGTCAAATTTCCGGGGAGTACGAAGCCAAGGAAGGAAGGATGAAACAATACAAAGAAGCGGCTAAGGAGTTGCTCGAGGTGTTTGAGGCACATTCTCTCACCCAAATACCGAGGGCTCAAAACTCTGAGGCCGACATTCTATCCAAGCTCTCGGATGAGTCCCCCGAGCACCTCTCAAAAATTGCAAGAATCGAGGAGCTCAGCCTCTCAAGCATCCACGCAAGCCCCATTATGAACATTAACCTGAGACCGGAGGATTGGATCTCCGACATCACCACCTTCATCACCACGGGGCAACTACCCCAAGATGAGGCCCGCGCGAGATTGACAAAACTGAGGGCTCCCAGCTACACCATCGAAAACGGGAGGCTTTACAAGAGATCTTACAACGGCACCCTCCTTCGGTGCCTTCATCAAGACGAGGCCGAAGTCGCCATGGAGGAAGTGCACAGTGGCACTTGCTCAGCTCACCAGGGACCTTTCTCCATGTCCCGAAGGCTCATAATTCAGGGATACTTCTGGCCCACGATGGCTAGAGATTGTGCTGACCTAGCCCGGAGGTGCACCGCTTGCCAACACTTTCAAAAGGCCCCCGGCAGACCAGCGGTCAACTATGCTCCCATCAGCACCGCTATACCCTTCTCCAGATGGGGGATTGATTTAGTGGGACCTCTGCCGAGGGGTACCTCCAACAACAGGTACATCATTGTGGCCATTGACTACTTCACCAAATGGGTAGAGGCCGAACCCCTCGCCAGCATCACGGAGGCCCGGTGCCGCCACTTTGTTCTCAAAAATATTCTCACAAGGTTTGGCGTCCCTCAACAAATCATCTCTGACAACGGGACTCAATTCGAGGCAGCCCCCTTCTGTTCCCTCCTGGAGGCATGGGGCATCAAACACACCTTTTCATCCGTTGCCTACCCCCAAGGCAACGGGAAAGTAGAGAACGCCAACCGAACCCTACTTGAAGGATTGAAGAAGAAGCTGGAAGCCGAAGGGGGGGGGCTGGGTAGAAGAGGTACACAACATCTTATGGGCCTACCGTACCACCCCTCGGCGTGCAACAGGCGAAACACCCTTCTCCCTATGCTATGGCTTTGAGGCTAAGGCTCCAACAGAAGTGACCCTTCCTACCCGAAGGGTGGAACAATATGAGCCCGAGGTCAACGAGGCCAACATGGCCCTCGACCTTCATCTCATCTCAGAACGCCGAGAGCAAGCTTTTCTCAGGGCCGAAAACTATAGGAGACAAGTCAAAGGATACATCGACGCCAAGGTCCGCTCCCGGGAATTTCAGGTGGGTGACTACGTCCTCCGACGAAGGGAGGCCAGTCTACCCACCGAAGGAGGGAAGATGGCGCCCAAGTTTGAAGGCCCTTACATTGTCTCGGCCATCATCAAACCGGGAACATACAAATTAAAACGTCCTAATGGGACAGAGGTTCCTAGACATTGGAATGTGCACCACCTGGTAAAGTTTTATCAATGAACGGCCAAGCCCTCATCCTCAACAAGTGTAAATTTCAATGGCCCAAGGCCCCATCTGTTTTTGAAGAATAATCAAAAGGCCAAGCCTTCATCACCTACATATTGTACAAGCGGCCCAAGGCCCCCTTTCTCTCCTACAAATGAGTGGCCAAGCCCTCGTCTCTTCACCAAAATAGGCCCAAGGCCTCTCCCTCTCATGAGGGGGAACAACAATTTAGGTACCAAGTACCAAGTGTAGGGATCACCCCCATCACTCTTTGAAAACACCAAGTGTTCTCTCAAACTTTTACATACTCTCCTAAAAAAAAAAAAAAAAAAAAAAAAAAAAAAACCGGGGGTGCAATACCCCTCGGCTCCGGCTGGTACCAAGTGCCCCCGGCTATTTGTGTCCCACACACAAATAAAACCCTTCCCAGGAACGCTTTCCGCGCCATCCCCCAAGGGGAGGCAGGCAACGGACCATGTCCCGGGCCCAGGATTCGACTTCCACAAACGAAACGCTCCCCGCGCTATCCCCCAAGGGGAAGCAGGCAACAGACCATGTCTCGGGCTGAGGGGACGACTTTCAAAACCGAGGCGCTTTCCGTGCTATCTCCCAAGGGGAAGCAGGCAACAGACGATGTCTCGGGCCGAGGAAACGACCCTCAAACCCTTCGGGATATCGGAAGGTCATTCCCGAAGGGGGAGCCAACGGTTTGTTCCGTTGCCTCCCATATAGGCCAAGCCTTTCCTAGAAACCAAGTTTCTAGATGCCTCTCCTACACCAAAAAAAAAAAAAAAAAAAAAAAGATGTGTAGGGGGGAAGGAACTCCCCGGATACTATTCTCCCCGGAGGCTCAACACTTCGGATATACATTGCCGAAAGCTGCTACAAATGCACAAGAAAATCTCTCAACATCGAGTCATCTGGCTACATAGCCGAAAGCTTCACTACGTGAAGCCTCGGAGTACAAGAATTCCACCGGAGGCCCAAAAAAGAGGCTCACTAGCAGAACCTCACTAAGTCTATATGTGCACAAACCGGAGGCCTCAGGCCGAAGGCAGAATGTCACCAGGCTCATTCAAGGATGGAAAAATTTCTAAGTCCACGTATTGGTATCCTTAGGGAAACACTCATCGAACCGGGGGGCTACTCACAAGATCTGTTGGAAACACATCTCAGAATTTCACTAAGTCCATAATCTCGAACCCCTCGGCAACCATATGTACCGGGGGCTCAGAGCAGTTCCCATACCGGAAGGTTCACTACAACTACTATTGGAATATTGTGGAAATTTGACTAAGTCCACAATTGGAGACCCTTCAGGAGAAAACAGGGATGCCCTCTTCACTTACAGGGTTGCGGCCGATGGCCCCCCAAACTACTTGGCAGTGACCTAAAGCTACACGGCTAATTCATTTTATCCCTCGGTCCCGATGCTGCAACCCTTTGAGCAATTCCAATACCCCACCACCGAAGGGGTCTAATCAAGTTTTACTTAGAAAATTTGCTAAGTCCACAACAGCGGCCCCCCCCGGCGATCCTACACTACAACCGGGGGCTAGCAAGGAGTTACACTTAGAAAAAATTTTCTAAGTCCACAAACTAGGGGCCTCCGGGAAAGCAGACATTCATTCAGGAAAAGGGAGAACCAGTCACACGCAAATACAAAAATAAACGAGGGCATGCATTCATTAAAAGGGAAGGCTTGCATAAAAGCGAGGGCATACATTCATTCAAACGAGAAAGGTATACAAGAAATCAAAGAAGATGGAAAGGACGACCATTGGTATAAAATCCCGAAGGAGAACATTCATCATGAAGAGTGTTTTGTTACAATCGTGGCCGGAGCCTATAAACTACACAAAATTTACACTTAAACAATTTGCTGAGTTGGGGCCTCCTCAGTTGCGTCCCCCTTCGTCTTTGAGGAAGCATCGTCCTCGACTTCGTCTTCATCATCAAGGCCGCACTCCCTCATCAACTCTGAGTCTTCCAACTGGCGTCTCTCCTCACCAGGAGGGAGGGGGGTCCTGACATCTGGCTGCCGAGGAGGGAGACCATATGCCGAGGGGTCAAACTGGGAGGGCTCAACGCCGAAGTGATTGGCTAGCTTCCGGTAGATCAGGCGCTGGGTGAAGAATTCACCCCCATCAAAGTAATTCTTACCCTTCAGGGCCATCCATTCGGCTCCGGGGCCTTTCACCCAATCTTCAACGCCCTGCTCGATCACCGAGGCCACCCACTTTTCTCTCCCTTCAGCCTTCCACCCCTCGGCGAGAAAAGCTGCCACCGCGTCCTCCTCGGCCTTGGAAACCGCCTCGGCCTTAACCTTCTCAGCTTCCTCGGCTGCCTGCTTGGCGGCCTCTGCGGCTGCCCTCTCTGCCTCCGCCTTGCCCTCAGCTCGGGCCCTCTCCTCTGCCTCCCTCAGCTCCTCTTTGGCCTTCTTCAAGGCCACCTCCAGCTCAGCGCCATACTTGATGGCCTCGGCATGCTCCCTGACGAGTTTCTCCAGGGTTGCTTCATCCTGCGCCTTCCTCGCGCGCATTTGCCCTACCCTCTGGATATACTCACCGAGGGCCACACTAGCCTGAAAATCATGAGAAAGCATTCGGGATCAGGATTATGCGAAGGGAAAGACGCGAAAGATAAAGGTACGAAAGGTTCAAGGACTTACAGAGACTGAGGCCTGGAGGGCCTTGAGCTCCAAAGCTTCATCATCAAACCGGCCGAGGGTGGACCGGTCTAGCGGAGTGGTGGCACCCCTCAGAAACTCCCTCGGATCGAGGGTGCCGTGCATGATAGCAGTCCCCTTCTTAAAGGAGAACTGCACTGTTTCCCGGGGCCAGGTGCCCTCGTCAAAGTCCTCGAGGGGGGTGGACTCAGAAGGATGGAAAGTGGGGGGTTCATCGATGATCACTAAGGGGGCATCCTTGCCCCCCTCACCCCTCTTCTTCTTCTTATTCTCCGGGGGCATGACGCCCTTCCCGACATTTTTTCTTTTGAGCTCCCCAGCTTGGGAGCCCCCGGCGACGGCACTGGCGTCTGCAGCAACAATCTCCCGGGACACCCCCTCCCCCTCAGGAGTCTTGGGAGCCCCGGCTTTCTTCAAAACTTCATCGACAAGAGGCTGGCTCGCCGAGGACCCCTCCTCCTTCTTCTTCCTTGGCACCTTGGCCAGCTTTTTAGAAAGACGGGCGAAGGCCTGAACGTCCATAATATCACCTGTGACAAGTCAGAAGGGGTTAGATTCAAAACAAGTAAAGTACGGGAAATAATTCTAAGGACAAGACAGAAGAGCCCCCGGTTACAACCTCCGGCGTTCTGATATCCGCGGGCAATCACCGGGTACTTCTCATCCTTATCTTCCGGTAGACGATAACGCCGGAAGCCCAACAGATATAGCTCCTCAGGCGCTGCCGCCGCCTTGATAGCAATCACCTTATCAGAACCCTCCGGTTTCTCGATAAGCTTCTTCCCGGCCTTGTCGAGGGCCGCATTGCCTACTTTCGGGTGCCTCTTGAAGTAATGTTAAGAGCCCCCGGGAATGGGTTGTCGGCGAGCCGAATGTAACAGAACTTCTCCTTCCATTCCTTGTGTGATGAAGGGGTCTCTGAAAAAAGCTTCCAGGCCGGAACCTGCTGAAGGTTAGCATACCCTCCGGCATGAGTATGTCCTCCCCGACATAGGTTGAAAGAGAGGAAGAACTGGTCCAGTGAAGTGGTCACCCCCCGGCTTCGGCAGAGAGCCAGGAATCCCGCCAAGTAATAATGGCTATTGGGTGTGAGCTGACAGGGGGCCAATTTAACAAACTTCAAGTACGATACTACAAACGGATGGAGCGGGAATCTGAGCCCTAGCTCCACCGAGAGCATGTGTACCGAGAAGCACCCCTCGGGGGGATGGGATAGCAAGTCATTAGGCCCCGGTTCCACCACTTGCGCCGACGGCCCCACTAGGACTTGGAGGGCTAAGCACTCGGCTCCCGACGCCGTGGTCCTCACCTCAAGGGCAGTGGTATCCAGGTATGAGTGTCCCTCGGGGATCCCGACTGGTTGCCCGGCATCCACGGCCGCTTACTTCTTCTTCGGGGCGGCCCTCAGTTTTTTCTTCTTCTTGGCGGGGGCAACACTCAGAGGCTCCGGGTCTAGGGGACGGGAACTACTTGCCTCACCAGCTCCGCGTGGGGGGGGCACAGCTACAGTAACCCTTCGCCTCTCCCTCTCTTCAGCCTCCTGAGCAACGTGGACGGCGAGGGCCATCTCCTCATCTTCAATCACCTGCTCGAAGTCCTCGGCCTCCATCTCCGTTCGGAGGTTACTCTGAATCTCCTCGGCTACGGCGAAGTCGTTGGCCAGCGACGCCCGATCACTGGAAGAGGCCACGTCAGATATGCTCTCTGATTGCGCCGAAGGTTCCCCCGAGATGTCTTGAGAATCACTCGCGGAGGACATAGTTGTAAACAAGGGAAAAGTGGCCTAACCGGGGGCTCTTAAAGTTTCCCTAGAATGCTAACGCTAAAACTAGGAGAGAAGGGAGCAGAAGAGGAACTGACCTCAGAAAGCTTGGGTTGATCGAGGGGAACTTTCTCTCTCTAGAATCAAATTGCCAGAGCTTCGCTATCTCTCAAAATCGCGCAAGCACAAATGAGCTCAGGCTCAGGGTATTTATAGGCAACTGGGCCTCGATTTGAAAGCCCATCATTACGGGCCGCCGGTTCAACCAATGGATAGCACCCGCCCCCCACCGACCAACGGAGGCATGCCACGTCAACTCTTCTTCCAACGGCTATATTACAACGACTATATTTCGGCTACACTAGGGGTGCCCCCGAGTGATAGCCTCCGGCTATCGCTCACCACACCCTTCTGCCAGCAAATTTCATCAAACGCCTTCGAGCTTGCGACAGCATAAGCCCCCGACTTGTCAGAATTATCACCCCTCGAGTTCTCATCGACTTATTATAACTCCTTCAGCCCGAACTTGCCTTCGGCCTAAAGGAGTGGGGGACTGGGACACACCCCTCGGGAAACACACCCGACTAAAAACGAAAATGTGCCACATACAAGAAACCTACAAATGACACATGTATCCCTCGAGTGCGTACACCATTACACCCTTCGGCAAAGCAAAATGTCAGAAATTTTCCACAGTCACTGACAATAATGAAACAGCCTTCATCACAACACGTACGGATATTATTTACGCCTCCCTCAGAAAACCCCCGACATGTGAGGGACTGAGGAGAGGCTCCGACATTCATACAGGTGTTATACCTTCCCTCAGAAAACCCTCGACGTGTGAGGGACTGAGGGGAGCCCCCGGCAAACATGCCGAAGGTCATGAATACCTTCCCTCAGAAAACCCTCGACCTGTGACGGACTGAGGGAAGCCTTCGGCATGTAGCAGAAGGCAGCTCTCAAGCAAAGGCGCCCAACCAAATGATGAAGCCTCCAGAAGAAGCAACGCATCTACTCCTTTTCCCTCAAGTACCTTTCGACAAAAGGAGTGAGGGACTCCTGATGGAGTATGTGGCCCAGGAACCCCCGGCCCATAGACTCCTATTTCTCCCACGCAAGTCCATTGAGCTCAGGAAACGACTCAGGCCCAAAAGCAACGGCCCAAGCCCCAAAATAGCCCGAAATACATACTGGGGTGCCTTCGGCCTCCTTGGCCGAAGGCTCCAGAAACTCACGAAGTAGCCCTCTCTGACATACGAAGCCACTGGGAGAAAACGGCGAAAAACATGAGCCTTCGGCATTACCAAGCCCTCGGTATCAGGGGAGCCTTCGGCTACACTTAGCCCTCTGCCACTCGAGCCTTCGGCTACACAGGGGTCCTTGGTTACACGGAGCCCTCGGCTACACAAGAAGCCTTCGGCCAAACATGCTCAATCATCGAAGATTCCTTTTGGGGACAGCCAACCACCGCATTTAATGCCACGTCACATCCGCCAACCGCATTCAATGCGGTGAACGTACCACTGCCGGTGCCACCAGGCTGATGTGACCCTTCGGCCGTTGGATTACTGACACGTGTACTCTCATCGCATTTAATGCTGCTATAAATAGCAGCCCATTTCTCCTTGTAATAGACATCATCTGCATCTCAACTCCACATCTCGAGTTCATTTAATAAAATCGACTCTCTCTCCTCCTATTTACTCTGACTTCTCTCTAGCTATTCCCGCAATAACCCCTCGGATAAGATACCCCCCGGGTAGACAATCCATCATTTGGGGCTCTCGTTGAGAGGTTGAACACAATCAAGTGAGAAAACCTCCCCAAAATACAAAAAATCATCCCAATCAACCAAAAATTCACCCAAATCACAGAAAATATGTCAAAAAACAATATGAAACTTCAACAAAAAAAATTTGTGTTCTGGCATGGGGGATCCAGGATTCGCCGGACCTGGCCGGAGCAACTGTCACCGCGCCACCGTGTCTCAGGGTGGGTCGCTCCGCTTCTGGGCTAGCACCACCGCTCCGGCCGCTGTCACACGCCATAGCAGACGTTTTCCGCCCACTGGAGCTCGCCACCCATTTCCAGATCCCGGCCGCCGCCGTCCACAGTAAGCTGAAGCTGGTCCGCCGCCGCTACTGGGTTTCGCCGCCCGTTCTAGATCTCGCCGCTGTAGAGCTGTTGCTCGCAGGTATTTCTTCTGCCTCTGTTGCAGCGCCGCCTGTTCTCCGCCAGCTTTAGATCTGGTTAGCTGTTCTGAAATCCACCCAAAGTTGGAATTCCTGGAACGAAGCACAAGGCGCGAGTTCTACCGCTTCCACCACCCAGCCTACCTACGACCTGGGAGCTCTGTGAACCTTTGTCGGCCGTTAATGGAGAGTACAGATTTAACGATGATGAATGGAGCTCTGTTCCCCACCCAAGTTGTGGACCCAGCGACGAAGCCGCAATCGCTGGAAAACCCACGCATAGTAGCAGCGACGTTCACCGACGACGCCTTACACGCAGCGGTAAAAGCGCCTGAGAAGCAGCGGCAACTCCGACGGACCCCTTTCCTTCCTCCAACAGTAACTGACCAGGGTCTAACGTGCTTCTGACCGAAGGTCGTCTCTCTCACTCGCCTCCATTTCCGGCAGCATCGTGGACAGGGCTGTAGAGCTGCCCCCCTTTTTTTTCAGACCCACCGCGGAAATGGCCGGCAGTATGCCCTGCGACTAGCGGCAGAGGCCTCTCACCAAATATATTCATTACAAAAGATTTTGATTGAATTAATTGGTGAAAGTATCTTTAATTCGTAATTATTCGTGAAACCTGGAAGCCAGAGGGATTTGATGGATGGGTGTAACACCCCCAAATTTCCCACCCAAAAATACCTTTAAATAATGATTTATTCAAAGGAATTTAAACTTTATTTGAAAACATCAGAATTGTGCAGCGGAAATTTAAATGGAAATAAGGGGCGTTACCGCCACACTCGGTTCTCACATAACCGAGTGCACAGGCTATCCACCACCAACAATTAAAATTTTCCATAATTAATTGTTCAACTCCAATTCCTTAAAATTAAGACTAAAATAAATTACTCAAATCACTTTAGTCTATGTTTTCTAGCGGAAGCTCTCGAAATCAACTTCAATATGATCTTCAATTCCTGCACAAATAAAGTACAGAAAGAAAACACAAAGAAACAAAAATTAGCTTGAAATGCTAAGTAAGGGCCTACTCAACCCTGTAAAATAATCACGTTTGATACATATATAGTTTTGTCAAAATACATGTCAAAACCCTTTTTAAGGGATGTTGAAACCTTCCCAAAATGCTCTACAATTCCTCAAATGCAAGTAAAATATTTTCTCTCAAAAATAATAAAAACTATATGATCTCATTTAGAATAGCATTCATAGCTCAAAATAATGTTTATAACTGTGAATAGTTCACATAGTAGGAGTAAGATATTACTCCCAAAATACTTAGTCTCCAAATTAACCTTTGAAATTCAATCACACGTCTCATATATGTAAATACGATATTCAAATCCAATCCAAATGGGTTACTAGCTTTATCAAGAATCATTTAAAAAAAATTAATACCCAGAAGTATTTTTTTTTTAAACTAATGCCAACCATATATTTTCCAAAACTAATATTCAAAAGTGTTTGTCAAATTTGGAAGTATCATTCTCCAAATAGTATGATTTTTCTAATAACCCTTATAAGTATTATAAGGAATAATTCACCAAAATAGCATTAATGGCATTGAGAAATATTTAATGCCCCAAAATATTTAATCCTCCCATAATTCCAAAATGGTTTAAGGTCTCAAAGTAATTCCTCCAATAGATATTTCCTTTCTCAATTCCACCAAAAGTATATATATAATACTTTATGTTTCTTTTAAGAGTGGGCGAAACTCAAGATTCCTCGAGCCCAATGAGTCGTTGTTGTCTACGACTCATCCCGGAATTCCGGCTCCCACCGACCACCAATTGGAAACTGAATTTCTACCTTAAGTGTGCACACCCTCTAAAAGAGATTCCAAGCTCTCCGAGTAGTAAGAAATCCAAGTAGTTCGGACAATGTCCCC